GAGTTCAAAGTATTTTCAAAAACATGCGTCAACAATATGAACAGCCCTTCTATTTCATGGTGAAAAACTTACGAATATAAATATGTATCATAGAAGGCATAGATTAAATAAAGTTCATAAGAACGTAGGTCATCAAACAAGCATAAACAGGAAGTACAGTCCAATCATGCGATTTTGATAAGACAGAATGGACGTTAACATAAAGGCAATAAAAATGATGAAGGATATTAAGTGACAATGAAAACATGCTACTTACCAATTATGAGTAGTACAAAGTTTAACTCAAAATTAACGGTTACAGCTGAATAAAAACTGGTTTGAAAAAAATAATAAGATTAGCAACGAAGTTAATGTGGCTGATCTGACTGTGATTTGATATTAGTTCAGAGGCATTCCCAGCCATGATCTCTTCCGAACCCCACGTAAGAAGTAAATGTTGAGAAAAGCCAGACGATGTTATAGTATCTTTTAATGCATATAGGGTCTTGGAATACTACTAATGTATACACTAGCTATCTCGCCTCTTACCAACTAGTAATTCTACGGAAACATTATTTTGTAATCGAAAGGAGCTCAAAGGTGTCAATTAAATTTTCTTTTAATTGACGTCGTCTGTGAAGCTGTGAAAATGAATCAGTGTTTTAAGTAGTCAGCCTTATTTTGAGCGTAGTTTTTAGCGCTTTGTTGTCTTTAACCGACTTCATTGAGCTCCAGTCTACGTATTTCACTGTCTTTTGTATGAATCGCAGCACATATTTTATTTGCATTCCATTCTTGTGAGGTTTTCTTCTTGGTTTTGAATATTGTGAATAAAATACACACAATAGCTGTTAAATGTTTATACGTAGATTGGCATTTCTCACTGGTTATAAGAAAGTTCATCTTCATTGTGATACCTACTTTTCAAATAAAATTTATCAAGCAGGAATAACTTAATGGCTATAATCAACAATGCAGTATAGAAATGTGATCTGTTGATATTAGAAGATTGGAAGCGATCGGCTGGAAGCCTTGGACTTAGGTTTCGTGCTAATTGACACTCACGAGTCAGCAAGGCGTATCTGCAACCTTGGAGGAACTCATATCCCTTCTGAGATTCGAACCCGCGTCACCAAGTGCTCCAGTCAGAGACACTATCACTGAGCTATTCAAACTTGCGATTAACCACCTGTAGCACTGTATTAGATACTTTGATTGGACAATAGTCAGTGGTGCAGACTGCACCAAACAAATGACTATACACATTACACTTGTTAATAACTAGTGTCCAATCAGAGGTGTGATCTATCATTGGTGGCTAACTTCAGTTTTATTTTATAAGCAGAAAATGTTTTTAGTCATTTTCAGTGTCTCTTTCATGTATTCGGTCATATTTAGTGTAGCGGAATTAAACTATTAGAAATGTTGAACTCATTAAATCTTTGAATGTAAAGGCTTAAAATGTATCATATCTTTTTATCAATATATGCAGTATTAGTATTAATTACTACGTGCAGATTTTATTTGTTGAAATTACGTTTAACATTTCAAGACTACCAATAAGGTTTTACAAAACGAATTTGTATAGTCTACTAAGTTGATATTGTTTGATACTTTTTTTATAGTTTTGTACCTATTTATAAGTTCATACTCACGAAAGTATTATGTGTTTCTTGTTATATTTCAATGCATAGATTTGTCAGTTCTATTTGTGATGCATATATCATCAGCTTATCATATGTTTGAAAGGCTGCCTTGTCAAGCTGACAAAAAAGGATGCCTTGGGTCTCTGCAAGAACAGGCATACAATAATGCTTTTGCACACCAGAACAAGCTGGATTCAGGAAAGGCAAATCATGTGCTGATCAAATTGCAGCTCTACACATCATCACAAAACAAAGCATGGAATGGCAGTCAAATCTCTCTCTGTCTCAGTTTCATCGAATTCAAAAAGTCCTTCGACAGTGCAGCGTTGACTGAGAAGTAATTTGGAAACTAATTTAACACTATGGTGTACAGTGCCCAAATATTTATCAACCACATTCAACAGCTATATGACAATGCCACATGTCAGGTGATCCACAGCGGAAAACTCAGCGAGGCGTTCAAAGTGAATACAGGAGTTGGACAGGGTTATCTATTATCACCGATGATATTCTTAATTGTGGTGGGCTGGATTATGTGGAAGACTGTGTCGAGAGTGAGAAGACAGGAATACGCTTGACCACCGATAAGAAGACTCTAGAAGATCTGGATTTTGATTTAATTTCACACAAACTTGAAGATCTTCAGGCTGAAGAGGTAGGCAGCGAAGAAAAGACTGAAGGTGAACAGAGAGAAGACGGAGGTGATGAAGATAACCAACCAACAGCGACAACAAACAGCACCAATCCCCATCAACGGGAGAGATTTGACAGAGGTTACTTCCTTCACCTATCTAGGAAGCATCGTTTCAACCACAGCTGGCAGAACAGATGAAGATATCAAAGCTAGTCAGAATCGGAAAGGCAAGATGCACGTCCATCAATCTGAAATCGGTTTGGAAATCTTCTGCACTATGCAGAATAAAGAACAAGATTGGGATTTTCAACACAAATGTGAAGTCAGTCAGTCCTTCTGTACGGGTCAGAAACTTGGCCAGCATGTCATGAAAAGAATTTCTAACGAGTGACAGACTTTTATCAACAGCTGCCTTCACTGGCTCCATACAGAAGATCAAATGGCCAGCCTGTCAGAAACTTAGGCAACAAACCAACCAAGAGGCGATCGCTCAACATAAATGTAGGAGAAAATGGAAATGGATCAGGCATATATTGATGAAACCTTCGAATGACATCGCGTGGAGTGCATGCCATCACTCTAGTGGAATCCCAACGGGAAGCGATGGGTAGGTCATCGCTGCGAGGGTGACATGGAGGAGATCGTGTGGGGAGGAGGATATGAGAGATTATGCGCTGAAGAGGACAGCAGACAATAAAACAAAGTGGAGATGTGTTGTTGAAGCTTTATGTTCCACTAGGAACCCAAGGGAATAATGATAATAATTATTATATGTTTGGTTTAAGTGCTTTAGTGCTTTTATTCTCTAGAGCAGATGCTGTGAATTCATACTTGTGATCTTCTGACTAATTTAGACTGTTGTTAACACTCTTGCGAATACTGTAACGCTCCTCACTTCTCTTCATCCCTTCGCGTTCCGTGTATTGTTCTTTGAAGTTTTCATGGTGGTGGTATTATTTTTCACAAGATAGAGTTACTAGCTTCACGCGCAACCTTCCCAATTTTTCCAGACTTATAACTTACCGGTAGTGAACTAGATGATGTTTAAGAGTACATCGGTTAAGAATCAAACAAGGCCTAAAGTCCAACTACATACCAATTTACGACACTGATACTCTTATTAAAAAAATTTCATTCATGTACATCAATTCTCTATAATTTTAATCTATCGAAGCGATATTGAAAAAGACAAAAATTCACCTTATTGTTGCTGTTTTTTCCTTAGTATGTATGCATAGTGGAAAATGGACTCCTGATTGTTTGCTCCCCGTTACTTTACACTCATACTTTTGCTCTCCTGTCACTATGTATAATATACCAAATTGGGTGAATAAGTAATAATAAGTCATATCAGTTGCACTAATGGAGTTCTTCAAATTCATTGGCTAGATGAACCACACTTTAAATTAGAGTCCTAGTAGGTATACCATCATGGATTCCAAATTAGATAACTTTATTTGTGCGTTGGTGGCATAGCGGTTTGGACGCTGGGGTTCAGTCCCCGGTCGACGCACTCCTTCACCTCGCTAGGCCAGAAATAATGTTAGTAGAGGAAGGGTTGGGCATGAGGCTAGCAACCCCATCCTGTTAAATAAACATTGCTACAGAAACTTCAAGCCACTAGCTTGAAGCCCTATGTTCCAGTTGGGAACGTGAAGGAAAAAAAATTTGATACAACTCAGTAATACTATGTTAATAACTGGTTGGTAATTTTGAATACAGTTTATTACTCATATTCGTTTCATATATAATGCAGGTGCATTCATTTAACAAACATATAGGAAGGATCAATTTGCGCTTCTTCGATTCCCACGCTTTGCATCAACGAACAGTTATCCTCTTATTTACCATCTAGAAGAATTAAAATCTAGCAAAGAGAAGCATTTTGTTGAACGTCCATCGTTTATTCACTTTCTAATATGTTATTGGATATTTCTGTGGGTTAAAGCAATCAATACTAAATTTTTTAAATTATACTCTACCTCTAAAACTAATGATCCCGGTGTCTAATCAATATATCTCAAGCACTTGTTTTGTTTTACTGGGTTTTCAGTTCAAAAAGATATATTCCTGTTCTCATTAAGTTTATACTTGATTCTGTTTATGCTACTTTTTATCAATGACTGAAAGTTAGTTGATGTTGATATAAAGATCTCTTGCCTTATATTTTAATAGACGAATGAGATCGTTTACTCTCTTCTACTCATTCATTTTGGTGTAGTAACAACTTTTACTGGATATTTTTTGGTTAATATACTTTATTTTCGAATAAATTCGCAATCTGGTCAATGTGCGGGGGCGCGTTGTGTGGAGGCATCCAGCTACTACTCGTTTCAACCATTCAGTAGTAGTAGTATATAACATTTTCTTTATTTTGCTCAGCATACTTATAAGTAACATAATTTTTTTATTACAAAATGTATTTTTATTTCATTTTGCTAAACTAGGTTTTTAAAGCGCATAGTTTAAATTCATCGCAGATTGTTGCTTTTTTTGCCAAAAAAGGTTGAATTTTCTCTCTCATTTCTTTTTATCATGTTAAAAATTGTTTTTTTTTAATGATTTGCGCAAATAATTCATGCTTTTTATTCAAGTAATCTGGCTTCTTAGCTTAAATGGTGCGTTTGTTTTCTTGTTTTTTTTTGTTGTTATTGTTGTTAATTTTACTCATCAGGATTTATTTACTTGTTAATTTGCCTATATGTATGTATATGTATTAATGAATTTATTTTTAATTTTAGAAACGTTTGGCTCAAGAGGCCAGATTAGCTAAACGACGGTTTAAAAATCGTACTAGACAAATCACGGGTGATGGAATGATGGATGAGATTCTTGCAGGTAACTGCCTTTTTTTTCTCTTCGTTTGATTGAATTATCATTCCCAGCCGGTTAAGAGTCACATTCATTTTCGATGAAATTTACCGACTGGTTACGCTGTTTTTGGATATTTTATTAACAGTAAAGACTTGGTATAACAGAAGGATAGCACACAGCGCTCATCAATTCAGGCAATGTATTTTCACATAGTAGTTGGTCATGAATCTGAAACTCATAATAACCTAGAGAGGTGTGAGATTCCAGCGCATATGCATACTTACTTACATTCAGTGTTTTTATTATGTAAACGTGTCTGTCTATCTGTTTTTGACATAGAACTTTGCACATATGTGCGGCAGTTCAAGTCGCCACACTCCATGTAGCACACAAAGCAAAAGAAGAAAGTAGGAGAAATGCATATTAGAGACAGTAAACAGAGGTGTGAGACAGAGGAGTAGTAATAACGGAGAACGAAACAGTTTCATTGGAAATCATAAGTCACAAGGAGTGGATGCATCTGTGCCAGCCACTGAGAACGATTTTGAGCCATGTCACCAATTGTTTCCAACCATTGGTTTTTACCGTCCAGAGGACCCCAACCAGTCTGGAAGTCTACACCTTCCTACGTGGCCTAAACTAACTGTTGTAGATTTTATTGACTGGTGCCATGTTTTGGTTTGACCGCCGCTAGCTCTTTTCCAGCCTGACCCTATATCAGCTAACATAGCCCGTTGTCGAGGAAGGCGATGACTAGGCTGGGCATGTGTAACACATGTCCTAACCATCTCAGTCGGAGTAATTCCACAGTATCGTCGATTGATTTCCCCTCCTTACCTAGCACTCGACGCCTAACCTCAATATTGCTCACCTTACTATACCACTTCACACGGGAGATAGAACGCAGACACCTATGATCGAAGACAGCTAATCTTTCCATGTCTTCCACTCTCAATGGCCAGGTCTCACAACCATAAAGGAGGATGAAGCGGACTGATGAGCAGTACACACGCCCTTCGGTCGATAGTTGGATATCACGTCTCCGCCAGAGACGGCGTAAAGTGGCATATGCGAAACTAGCCCTTTGTATCCGTGCTGAGATTTCGCCGGAGATCAACTCGTTGGGGCTGATGGTACTTCCTAAATAAGTGAAGTGGTCATCGTGCTCTACCACTTCGCTCCCTATTTCTAAACTAGGAGTCAGTGTAGTCCAATCCTGTAAGATCATCTTACATTTGACGGGAGCGAATCGCATGTCAAACATTCGTAGATTGCAGCTCAAGGTGTTCTGAAGACTCTGCATTTTGTATGTAAATGTGTATTAGTCGCAGTGATTATTAATTATTATTTTACTGCTTTGCATTCCGAGTGGAACATAAGGCTCCAAGCTTGAGCTTTGAAGTTTTATTAGCAGTGGTTCTGTTTTCGCTAGCTGAGGTTGCTAGCCTCACACTGCACCCATCATCCTCGTTACCAGACTTACTACCAGTTAAGCGAAGTTTAGGTCGTCGTGCGACTCGAACCCGAGACCACATGCGTGGTTGGCGGGTATTCTACCGCTGAACCACAATGCACAGCGCGTGATTATTACATGGTGTTAATTTAATAATTCTTGGAAAATTAGGAGTGTATTTTCACAATGATAAAAATGACGATGATAATATCTAATCGACATTCCCTAGCAACATACGGAGGGGAGTGTCTGTTCAATAGTGCTATGGCGTACAGTTTTTGTCCTCCAGAATGCATAGAAGACCACACACACACACATCGCTTTTATGTTGGTATAGCCATCTACATGATACTGTTGTGTAACAGTGTAACAACAGAAGACAAGGGCCAGGCAACAGATCGTTTATTTAGGAAATCAACACATTTATATATTTTCATGTACATTATTATAGATTATTGTAAGCAAACAAACACAGTCTTCTGATTGGTGGTTTCTCGCTGAACGTTAATCGTTCATCTCTTTGTAGCTGTTTATTGAAGTTCAGATTATCTATCTGCAAATTGTATCCGCCTACGCAAAGTCTGCTGTGATTGGTTGTTTAATCAGTCTTTGTTTTTGTTATTTTTCTCACGACCAATATTGGGGACGTAAACATTGATTTAAATTACTGTCTACCCATTTTGGCTAGCAGCCAGCTATCACCACAAGAGCATGTAGCGTTTTCACTTTCTCATCGATTATTCCTTAGCCTGACTTCGTAACTTATCAGAAAGTACAGGAAAAAGCACACTTCTTCAGATTCTGTGTTATAAGTACAAAACTTTACTTTCCTCATATAAAGATAATTAGAATGAGATAGAATTTAATTATACTTGTAAATAGTTTCTGTGAAGACTTTCACTGCTATAAAACTTAAAGTGCTCTTCAAAAGTCAAATATTCGTAGATAAGACTTTTGATGTTTAACTTTTTGGTATTTGGTTTGATTAATAATACAAGATAACTTCATGGAATGATCAGTATAATAAAGAAATTCTTGTAGGTCTGTAACTAAAGGCTAACTACTAGCTATCTTTATGTCAAGTTTTGAAATAAATTGACCAGTTATCTGTTCATGAATTCGGTCTTTTCTTTCATTTGTTCTGTTTCATGTAAATATGTTAATCCCAGTTATTCTATATAGTTTATTTGTACATTATTAATTCCGGTTATGTTTATAAGTTTGAGGAGTAAGAAAAGGGTGTCTGCTACCCCAACGATGATATTCCTGATTATGGTGAACTGGATCATGCAGCAGCAGGCCATGAGGAGTGAGAAGATAGGAATATGTTAGACAGACGAGAAGACTGTAGAAGATTTGGATTTATATCTAATGTTACGCAAGGTCGAAAATCAACAGAGGAAAACCAACAAGTGGGCGGAAAAGACAAAGCGTAAAGGCGATGAAGATATCCATCAACCTACAACAACAAACACTAATTGCTATCAGAGGAAGAAATATGAACGAGGTCACTGCTTTCACTTATCACCCAGACAGCATCGTCCCAACTACATACAGCACGAATGAGGATGTCAAAGGCGGAATTGGAAAGGCAAGACAGACCACCATTAGTGTGAAATCAGTGTAAAAATCTGCTGCACTCGACATCAAGAACAAAATTCGGATTTTAAATACTAATGTCAAGTTAGTTCTTCAGAGATTTCACCTGTCACCAAAGGCATTTCCAATGGCCTGTTGCATACTTTTATCAGCAGCTGACTTAGCTCCATACTGAAGATCAGATGGCTGGCCAGGAAGGAGCTCTGATAACGAACTAACCAAGAACCTTGTTGCCCAAAATAAATATACTAAAAAAATGGTGATGGATCTAAAACACACTGAAGATGCCGCTGAGTGGAACCCGAATGGGGAACGGCGAGTTAGGCATCCGTGGTTGACATGGAAGAGATCATGTGAGGAGGAGATGATAGCTTATTGACATTCGTGGAGCCCAGCTAAAGACGACTGCAAAGAACAGGATGAAGTGGAGATGTGCTGTTGAAGCTCTATGTTTCAAATGGAACTTAAGAGAATAATAATTACATTATTATTATAAGAAACTATGGAACAAAAAAACAAGAACCAATCGCCTAACAAATATGCAGGAGAAAGTGGAGATGGATTGGACACTCGCTGAGGAGACCGCTGGGTGACATCGCGCGTCAGGCCAATGCTTGAGTGGAACCCGAAAGGGAAGTGGCGAGTGGGACGTCCAAGGGTGACATGGAGGAGATCGTGTGAAGAGGAATTGAAACAGTATGGATTAACATGGACGCAGGTGAAAAGTACAGTAGAAGACAGAAGCAAGTGGAGACGTGCAGTTGAAGCCCTATGTTCCACTAGGAACCCAAGGGAATAATAATAATAAATATGTCACTGCAAAAATATACCATATTTTATATTCCGGCTAGTTAAACACAAATTCGTCTATTCATCTTCTTTATATCATGTGCATAATTTTCTCATGTGTCTAATTGGCTTATGGTTTTTATTCTTTCTTTTTTCTTTTATAGGTTTAATATCTGAACCATTACAAGCAGAAGTACATCCACGTCGTAATCGGCTTTCTGAGAATAACTGAAATAACAATCATAATAGAGAAGAAAAGAAACAACAACAAAAAACAACTGTGGGTGTATACAAAACTAGTTCATGTACACTTATTGCCTTTACTTATTTATTTATTTACTACAAAATACAAATATGATCTTTTGTTTGCTCTTTTGTTTATTTGTTTTTCTTTCTATCTATTTTGTAATTTATCTTATTTTTCATTCTAATAAGGACAAAACACACATCTTTGTTCCACTAATATTACTACTACTACCACTCAGCTTTGTTTTATATAATCCCAGTCATCATTATGTATTATACACTTTTCAGATATTGTTTCAGGTTTTGTTTAAATTCTGTAATACGTTAACGTTAGTTAATTAACTTGAGTTATTCATGTTCTCCTGTATGTTTCCATGCATGCCTCTTCCCTTCGGCTTTGACCCTTTTCTCTATTTCTTTTCAATTTTCTGGAATCATCCGAGTTTATTGAGGAGGAGGAATAATTTTTCCTGTTCATCTATTTAATGTGTACTCACTCTCTAGCTTTTAATAGTTTGAATGTGTTAGTCTATTCCACTGTTTAGTTCATAATGTTCTCTTTCTCTTTTTTTTCTGTATCATACATTCATTGTAATCTAAGTTAGTTTGATCTCATCATAGAATTAAATTCTTGTGCTTATAATAATGATTTACAAAGTGAAAGAGAAAGTGAGAGAGCAAGAGGAATAGTTAGACGATGTTAGACGATGCCTTCTTTCACTTTGGCATATATACTGCTGCCTTGTTATAACACTATTTCTCTTCTTATTGTCAGTCATACTCTGAACTGTTTATCTAGTCATTGTGTTTTTTCTCTCTCGTAAACTGTGTTAAATTACACTTTGCTAGTTGTCTTATTTCCCTCTTCTTATTCCAGTTAATGATAATACTAATAATAATAATAAGAGTAATTTTAATCTCCTCTCAGCTTTGTATAGTTTGATTATTATATTAATTGTTTTCTCTCCCGGTTTATATTCGTTTTTATATTATCAACAAAAATCGCCTACGTAATTGATTATTTTCTATGATTACATTTTTGTTTTATTATTATTAAAGAAGAATACCCATTAGCGTTTTTTTTTGTTGTTGAAGATCAGTTGTGTTGTAATATTATTCGACGACAGTTTTCTTTGATGTGCATGAGCTAAATTTGTTTTTTCTCAATGATTCAATAAATAAACTGAGGCTGTTATTTTGATTTTTTTCTCTTTGTTTGTTGCTTAATTTCTAAATGTACGTTTATCCATATTTGGTGTTCTTTTTCTTCTTTTTTGTCGTTGCTTTCATATTTGACAGTTGTTGTCTTTGTAGTTAATTTCCTTCGTCTTCTTCTTCAGTGTTAACTAGAGATACGTTTATTCGATGAGTTGAATGATCGATTACTGATGTTCTCTTGTTGAATTAGTTAGTCAGTCTGTGCTGCTAACTTTCCATCGTTTTTCTTTACAAGTTTTATTTGATACAATAAATGAATAATAAATATTCTACAGGGTTATTAATACTACTAATATTATTGTTATTATTATTTAATTTATGTTTTTGCATGAATAATTCCATGGAATGCTTCTTCTTTCACTGTGTGTATATCGTCTATTATTGTTTGCCTTATTTCTACTTCATAAGTTATTATTATGATTATACTATGCTGTCTCTGAAATGTATTCACACATTATATTTACATTGTTGATGCTTTTAATTTAACGAGTATTACTGACACCTTCTTGTGACCGACCCACTCACCGTCTTCACTTTCTCATTCTGTTTGTCATCATTTACCTGTTCTTGCTCACTGATGATTCCATCAATGTTAATGATGATAATAACAATAATAAAGTGGACAGAATACTGAGAGATTTGTTAGTGTTTCATTATTATTAGTCTTTATTTTGTCCCTCTAGTTGTTTTCTCTTTGTCTTTCTTGTCGTCTCGGGGATATTCACAACCTTTGGATAGTAGGATGGGGTGGGTGGGTATATACGAATCATCATCTAGTTGGTGCTTCATCTTCCTCTTCTTTTGTTTACTGTTTTGTGTCAGCAGCTTGTGTAAAAATCTAGATAATTTGTCTGCTTTTCACTTGGTTTCATCGCTTTATACTTTAATATACATACATTTTTAAAAATATTACCTTGCCCATATATATATCATAGTCTTTTAGTCTTCGATATTTTTCGACTAAATTTTATTGTCTACAGTAATTTCGATTTAGACATTCATAGATAAGTTAGAGAAGGCTTGATAACATAACTCTGGTGTCTCCTCATATGCGGATAAATCTTTTGCCTTTTACTAAAGATTTCCGTAGGTGGAAAAATACAATGAGTTTTTAATCTCATTTTTTCCAGCTCTGTATTCGGACAGAGCATTTTCTTTGGTGCTTCGGTGGCACAGCGGTTAGGAGCTCGCCGACCATTCACATGGTCTGGAGTTCGGCCATCGGCCGACGCACACCTGATATCAATGGTCGGCTTGCTAAATTCGCGCTACCGATATCGCATGCTGAAAATTCCATAGTTGTACCAAATACGGTGTGGAATAATAAAATTGGTTCAGTCACTTTTACATTTCGCCGGTTAAATTCATCCAACTGACAGTGATGCCATTCACTGTAGGATAGTTATTCTTCCAATATGTCTGTCTGTCTGTTTTCGACATAGAACTTTGCACATATGTGCGGCAGTTCAAGTCGCCACACTCCATGTAGCACACAAAGCAAGAGAAGAAAGTAGGAGAAATGCATATTAGAGACAGTAAACAAAGGAATAGTAATAACGAAGAACAAAACAGTTTCATTGGAAATCATAAGTCACAAGGAGTGGATGCATCTGCGCCAGCCATTGAGAACGATTTTGAGCCATGTCACCAATTGTTTCCAACCATTGGTTTTTACCGTTCCCAACCAGTCAGGAAGTCTACACCTTCCTACGTGGCCTAGACTAACTGTTGTAGATTTCATTGACTGGTGCCATGTTTTGGTTTGACCACCTGCTAGCTCTTTTCCAGCCTGACCCTATATCAGCTAACATAGCCCGTTGTCGAGGAAGGCGATGACTAGGCATACGTAACACATGTCCTAACCATCTCAGTCGATGTAATTTCACAGCCTCGTCGATTGATTTCCCCTCCTTACCTAGCACTCGACCGATGCCTAACCTCAATATTGCTCACCTTATTATACCACTTCACACGGGAGATAGAACGCAGACACCTATGATCCAATATGTGATAGTCAACCATATCAATAATTGTGACTTATTTCCAGCTTAAAATATGCCAAACGTTTAGAATTTTTAAGCCTTGTTTTTCCACCAAAAAACGTTAATAGTTTAATAGATTTTAAAAAGTAGGCGTCATATCATAAATGATTTGAATTATGACCTTTCATAATTGCCAAGGTATTTATTTCACGTTAACAAAGACACTTATGAATGAAATGTATTTAAATGATGAGTTATGCATGAATTTGGATTAATTTCCCAATGTAGATTTTATCACAAACCTAATATCAGTTAGAGGATCACCAACTGGCGGTAGCGCTATATCATGAATTGATAAGCAATCGAATTTCGGCCCAAGTGGCTTAATCGGACATTGAGCTGACTTCATAGCCTGAAGGTTTTGGGTATGATCCCTGGTGGGGTCGGGTGAGCACTACCGATGAGTCCTAGAATAGGGCAAAACAGCTATCCAGTACTTTCTGGTTTTCTATGAAATAAATAACAGATGGTCTAGTAATGAACTACTCATGAGGTAATGAATATTCAGTCCAAGCTAATGGAGGGTTAGTAGACGATGGGTCGTCAATGAAGTTCTAGTTATTATACATGTAACGGGAGAATATAAGAGATTTGGTAACCGACCTTTATTATGGAAAAACATAATATTTAAACATTCTTAGCCACATCAAAATTCGGTTGGGTCATAGGAGAATAAATTGTTCTGATTGGTTGGCAATTAGAAAAATGTATTCTCCTATGACCCAACCGAATTTTGATGTGGCTAAGAATGTTTGGTTAGCAATTTCGCATATGCCATTTTACACTGTCTCTGGCGTAGACATGATATCCGACTATCGACCAAAGAGCGAGTGTACTGCTCAACAGTCCGCTCCGTCCTCCTTTATGGCTGTGAGACCTGGCCATTGAGAGCAGAAGACATGAAAAGATTAGCTGTCTTCGATCATAGGTGTCTGCGTTCTATCTGCCGCGTGAAGTGGTACAGTAAGGTGAGCAATGTTGAGGTTAGGCGTCGAGTGCTAGGTCAAGAGGGGAAATCAATCGACGAGGCTGTGAAAGTACATCGACTGAAATGATTAGGACATGTGTTAGGCATGCCTAGTCATCGCCTTCCTCGACAATGGGCAATGTTAGCTGATATAGGGCCAGGCTGGAAAAGAGCTAGCACATGGTGGTCAAACGAAAACATGGCACCAGTCAATGAAATCTACAACAGTTAGTCTAGGCCACGTAGGGAGATGTAGACTTCCTGACTGGTTGGGAACGGTAAAAACCAATGGTTGGAAACAATTAGTGACATGGCTCAAAATCGTTGTCAATGGCTGGCGCAGATGCATCCACTCCTTGTGACTTATGATTTCCAATGAAACTATCTTGTTCTTCGTTAATACTATTCCTTTGTTTACTGTCTCTAATATGCATTTCTCCTACTTTCTTCTCTTGCTTTGTGTGCTACATGGAGTGTGGCGACTTGAACTGCCGCACATATGTGCAAAGTTCTATGTCGAAAACCGACCGACCGGTTGGCAATTGGCCCAAGACTGAGCAAGTTGTCTAATGAGATTATCTCCTGACCACGACGTAAACTCTACAGCCATTGACATAAAATGTTACTTTCAATTTCGGCCGTCCCCAATCAATCTGCCTCTGTATACTGCTGATAAAACTTGTCGGTAGCACACGTCACGTACGTATTGTTATTCATTTCTTGCATTCCGAGTAGAACATTGGGCTCCATAGGCATATTTCAGTTGCACTCTGTTCTCTGCTATCACTTTCAGAATGGCACATAACTGCCCCCAATCTCTAATTTCCTCTTCATATGATATCCTCCATGTCACCTTCGGACGCCTAACCCTACAGCTGCCTATTCGGGTCTCATTCAAAGGGCCAACATGACGTCTATACGCAGATCCTTAATTAGAATTAGAAACTGTTGCAAAGAAAGCCTAACTGCATATTTCCCTACAAGTTAGCGTGTTTAATTAGTAACGCCGTTCAGTTTCTGCTAGGGGAAATTATTATTGAGGATACGCAAGGGATTCGGGATTTTTTGTGTGTAATGATGACGTAATTTATACGAGTAATCGACTGATAGGTATATAAAAATGTCTTTCTTCTTCCATCCTTACTCAAACTATCGGTGTGAAAGCATTCAGAGAATAGCAATGTATCGAATTTTACCTAGTATAATGATCTGGTCTGTATTTGTCGATTGAATCTTACAAGTCAATATGTTCACAGTAGCGTAATAGATAATGTCTGTGTCAGGAATACAAAAGATACTATTTAGAATTTTTCGCAGTGGCTTGATTACACTACATGAATCACTACTTGTTACTCTCAAGAATTTTAATCCAAAAGACGGACTACATTATTCTAGAATGGTTTAATTATACGCAAAATACATTCGGTCTAATAAACAGTGAGGGGACTTTATTTATACTTTGGAATTTCAAAGACAATTTATTCTCTACAGTAATATCTATCAATGGAGCTGCACCATTCAGTATGTAACTTCTGCACCTCACCATTTGCAAATTACACTTTTTTACATGAAATGTCATCATCATTTCTTTTGGAGATCTAAAATATTCAGATCACTATGTGTGTCTTGCTTGACAGCTGTAAATAGTTACAAGAAATCACGTACTGTTCGAAACAGGATATATACTACTTATTTTACTATAAGTAGTGTCCAACTACTCATGTCGAGTAGTAGTATATATTTCTAGATTTGAACTGTTTCAAGTTCTTTGATTCTATTTGCTACCGAATTTCGCATATTCGAGATCTGTAATGCTTCATTTGTGTCCCGTTAAAGAGTTTATCATATTTCTCAGTTGATGTGTTACTAAACTAGTAGCTCTTTAAAATTTAGCTTTATCCCGTGCTACTTTGTGGTTTTGTCTGGATGTGAGCATTTCAACAACTGTTTCTTCTTCTATCTTTCCATTTGAACCGTTAATGCATTGCGAACAGTATTCTTGATAGAAGTCACACTTTCGGCCGATGATATAGGACATGCTGTTAGGTTATTCAAATAAATTAGACTTTTTTCCATTTCTTGCCTCAAAGGCCCTTCCTTAAATATTGAAGTTTTAGTAGGGATGGTGTTCTTTTTAAGTGGCATTGTTAACCTCACGTCAAACCTTCCTTCTTTTCCAGGCTTACTACTGGCTAGGTGTGTGTGTCAGCCACGAGTCAAACCTCGACCTTATCTGTGGCTGACAGACATTCTGCCATTATGAATGAATGCGCCCTAATTCTAATTCACTTATAATCACTTTGCTTTTGAATGACTTAGCAACATGTTTTGTACCGCCAGCCTACAGTTCACTTTCAACCCTTATTTATTCTTACGCTACACTATGTGTCGCCAAATGGCTTACATACTGACGAGTGCCAACTAGCACGAAACCTAGGTCCAAGGCTTCCTGCCGATTGCCTCCAACTACCTAATATCATCAAATCAATTTGCATCGTGATGGCGATCTACCTAGAATGGTGGCCACTTTGCAAACCTGACTGATAGAATTCAGTCTGCACTAAAAAAGGACTAGACACATGACACTACTTACTAGTGTCCAATCAAAATATCCACTACAGTCCTATAGGAGGTCAATCGCGAGCTCAAATAGCTCAGTGGTAACGTCTCTGACTGACTGCAGCACTGGGTGACGCGGGTTCGAATCTCAGTAGCAGGGACATGAGTTCCTTCAAGGTTGCAGATACACCTTGCTGACGAGTGCCAACTAGCACGAAACCTAAGTCTAAGGCTTCCTGTGGCCGATTGCCTCCAACTATCTAATATCATCAAAATATACATCAGTTGATCGAATAATACTTAATATCTATTTAAAATTTCTAATTCCATTAGTGTTCATTCTAATTCCCCACCAAGCTATAAGTACTCCTGTTTGTGTTAACTGTCTTTAGAGATTTAGAACAACAATAATCATAACTGCAGACAAAATTCCTACGGAATATCTCTTACATAACAGACATCTATTTCTCATAGATTAATAATCATCAAAATTATCTAAAGGAATAGAAATAGCATAGCACAATATATGTACATACAATATTTGTTAAAATTTTATTTTATTATTAATAAAGAACAAAATTACAGCGAATTTTATCATATTTTATTATCCATCTGACCATTACCACCTCTGTAATATGCATGTTTATTATTATTATTGTCATCAGGATACTACTTGTGTACTCCGCCTTTTGTATAGGCATAGTGATTTATATATTTCTTATTTAAATCTTGATTATTATTATATTGTGGGATATAAACATTTTTATTGTTATTATTATGATGATTATATGGATAATTGTGAGCTTTGTGTTTCGATCCGGGTTTTTTATCAAATATTGTCTTACCTTGAACAATTAATCGACCATAAATATCATAATGTGAATAATTTTTAATTTTACCTTTTGGTCCTTGATGTGCACTATGATGATATGAAATAACTTCTAGATAATCTTTAGATTTTTCTGCATCACCGAATTGAAATAGACTTTTTGGTGAGAAAGATCCATAGTACCTCTCCAATGGTTTCGATTTCACTTGATACTTGTTAACAACACTGTAGGCGACAGGTTTATTCTGCTGAGGATAGTAGTGCTGTGTAGATTTAGAAGATGGATAATGCGGCTTTTTGTCATTCTGTGATGATTGTGTATAGGCTTGATAACGTGCAGACATCTTTGGATAGATATTTTTGAAGTAACCATTTTCTTTTTTCTGTGCTGTATACCTTATCGATGGTTGATGGAGATAATCATTAGGCTTAGCAGTGACTGTTTCCACTGTATATTCTTCGTTGTTTAAACTTTTTGGATGAATCACATAGAGTTTATCATCTATGGGTACATAATCATGCAAATCGCCTACTTTATGTGGTACATACTTTTGATGTTTATTCGAGGCTATTGGTAAGTTGGAGTAATCTGGTTGATGATTTTCATTTTGATATGGTTCCTTTTCAGCGGGCTTATGATGGTATTCAGCGTAATTATAATCTGGTTGTGCTTCATGTTCATAATAATTTTTATAGTTTAGGGGTTTGCCTAGACTACTACGTAGGTTTATAGGTTTATGATGTATAGTGTGTTTGTCTGCAACACTTTGTTTGTACTTGTCATGTTCATAGCGTGGATAGTACTCTGTGACTTTAGCTTCATATACCTTTGGTTTATAATTATCATATTCATGTTTGGGATAATAGTCATTGGTCTTAGTTTCATATACCTCTCGTCTATGGCCTTTGTGTTCATGATTTGGGTAATGTTTAATGTGTTTAGTTTCATATACTTTTGGTACATACTTTTCATGATGATGACTTGGGTGATATTCGAAAGATTTGTCTTCATATACCTCTGGTTTGTGGATTTTATGATCATGTTTTGGATAATATTCAACGCGTTCAGTTTCATACACCTCTGGTTTATCCTTCTCATGTTCATCTGGTCTGTGGTGAGGAATGTTGTTTCTTCTTCTGTATACCTCTGAATTGTATTCTTCAGGTCTGTGTCTCAAGTGATATTTATCATCTTCATCGACATACACTTCTGGTTTATATTCTTCATGTTTGTGTTTTGGATAATATTCAACATTTTCAACTTCATATTCAGGGGGTGTATATTTCTCATGTTTGCGTATTGGATAATTCTTAGGATATACAGTTTTGTATACTTCTGGTGTATAGGATTCTTCTCTGTGATTTGGATACGTATAATACTCAGAATTTCCAGCCAAGTGTACTTCTGGTGTATATTCTTCCTGCTCGGAATTCACAACCTCATATCTTTCTGGTGTGTATAATTCTTCTTGTGGATATGTATAATACTCAGAATTTTCAGCCAAGTATACTTCTGGTGTGTAGGATTCTTCTCTGTGATTTGGATACGATAATACTCAGAATTTCCAGCCAAGTATACTTCAGGTGTATATTCTTCCTGTCCAGAATTCACAATCTCGTATCTTTCTGGTGTGTAGGATTCTTCTCCTTGATATGGATAATATTCTGATTGTACTGTTTGGTATACTTGTGGTGTATAATCTTCATAATCATTATCTTCATTCACATAATCGCTATATTGACTGCCATATACAACTGGTACATAGTATAAATTACCATCATTGCTATAAGCTTGATATTCAACTGGTGGAAGATAGTCCGTAGATGTGATAGCTTCACCTACACCACTATTCAAACCATAATCATCATAATCAACATCATATGATTCCACAGGATAATATGCAGCATACTTATCATTACCAACAGTAGCAACACCAAGAATTGCTGCTAAAGTAGCAGCATCACCACCACCGTAGTAAGATTCTAAAGGTTGTTGTATTTGTTGTTGATATTTTCCGCTTTCTTCAGTTAAAAAAATCACATTTCCTAAGCATTGATAGAAATTAATTAAATATAGGAGTAATATGATTAACAATTGTTTTATGCTAAACATATTTCATTCAAATGTTGTATTGTGTTGTTAAATTTGTGTTGATTTGATTTTTGCAATAAAAAATAAAGCAGGCTATCAAAATATTCATTTCACTGATGAAGATTGTTTTATATAGGATTTTTTTTAAAGTTACTCTGTACTTAGTCAATATCTAATCAAATCTAATAATTATTTACGTATTAATATAGAAGATTTGACGCAATAGGAATATTTTTAAGAAAGCGTTAAACATTTTTTCTTGTTCTGTTTCGTCCTGTTTTTTTTTTTCATTTCTGTTCATAGAAAGTGCATTTTATTTTCTTATTTGTATATGTTCTCATTTATGTATCCCCCTTACTTACTCAACTTATTATGTACTTAGCTATTTATTAGTTTATTCAATGACTATTTCCAGTTTATTGAGTGTGATGTAATTAATTATTCGGCTTTTTTTTTTATTATAGAGGACAGGAAAAACAAAAAGAGAGCAATATTTTACGAACTTATGCACATAAAGTGCATTTCTATAGTTCACTTAGAATATTTAATTCAATATTTATGAAGGAATAAAAAATGTAAATGTATCTGTGATTTCAAAGAAGTATTATGTAATTCTTTCATGAGTATCAGTTGTGTACAATTAATGGAATCCTCATGCATGACCTTGCATGGATTCCCTTTCGATACAGTCTTAAACCTTGCTGATGTGATAGGTGGTTAGCCAGGTTATTAGGGGCTACCAACCTTACATCTCATCAAAAAGATCCCATTGTTATTGAAACTTTAAAGCTTAAGCGGCAAGCCTTATATTCTATTAGGAATGCATAGCAATGAAGAAAAGATGTAATTGACTCTAACCAGTTAATACTGAAATATACATGTCTATCCTATATGACTGAATATACACTAAGTAACTGAATGGATTTTTAATATATTTATGCGTTGAAGTTTCTGTAGCAATTTGGTTAAGTTTTGGGGGTGGAGTTGCTAGCACCACGCCCCAACCCTCCCTCTTTATCCGGGCTTGGGACCGGCTAGAAAACTAGCGAGCTAGTAATCTAGGCAGCAGCAACATCCAGCACCAATCACCATCAGGTAATTCATTCACTTATCATCTAGAGAGCATTGTCTCAACTACAGGAGGAACGGACGAGGATGTCAAATCGAGAATCGGGAAGGTGAGAAACACATTCATTAACCTGAAACCAATCTGGAAATCTTCCTCACTCAGCATCAACAACAAAATTCCGATTTTCAATACAAACGTCAAGTCAGTCAGTTCTTCTATACGGATCAGAAACTTGGCGGAGGGTCACAAAGAATATTTCCAACAGCCTGTTGCAGACTTTTATCAACAACTGTCTTCCCTCTATACTGAAGATCAGATGGCCGGGAAGAACAAGAACCAACAAGAAACTATGGGAAGAAACAAAACAAGAACCAATCGCCCAACAAATATGCAGGAGAAAGTGGAGATGGATTGGACACTCGCTGAGGAGGCCGCTGGGTGACATCGCGCGTCAAGCCAGTACTCGAGTGGAACCCGAAAGGGAAGTGACGAGTGGGACGTCCAAGGGTGACATGGAGGAGATCGTGTGAAGAGTAGTTGAAACAGTATGGACTAACATGGATGCAGGTGAAAAGTAGGGCAGAAGACAGAAGCAAGTGGAGAGGTGCAGTTGAAGCCCTATGTTCCACTAGGAACCCAAGGGAACAATAATAATAACTGAATGGATTCATTTGTAGGACTAGAAGCCTCAGTAAATTAACTCATTAAGTATTATTATTATCGATGATACATATGTGAATGTAACAGACATTTGGTTATCATCATTATTGGTCATTATCGATAGATGACTAGTACAAAATATTTTGGAGTTTTGATATGATAATTTTAGTAAATAACAAATTACATTACAATAATTCATGTAGTAAAGGATACTGGTCTGTTAGTACAAGTAATCTAAAAACTCACAATAAAAAGAAACTGATTTTGCAGTTAAACTAAACTTCTTTCATTGTTCATGTTAAATGGAGTCGACATCCAAAGTTTTTTTTGTCGCATGTTTCACTTTCGATTTAGTGTACAGTGTACTTAGTTTGTCTGTCAGTTAGACTAGATGAAAATTTTTCGGGATAATTGATACCGCAGACAACAACTATATCAACTATAGAAAGGGGTGATATTATTGTCTGTTAATGAATTATGTTGAACAATACTAAGATTATAGCATGTCCAAAAACCTCATTTAGTGAAATGAGGCTGATCAATTAGTTTTGGATCTGTCAAAGAGAATTTACGAGTACCTGTGTGTCATAATATTGAATCTATAACTGTTTAGGTTCTTTTCTTTTGGTTGAAAACTTTCCTTTTTACTAGAATCCATCACTTATTATGATCTTTGAGTATCCAAAGGAGTGGAGATTTTTCAAATGTCTACGATTTTTTGATTGGTTGGAGGATTTCATCATGAACCGACATCAGTTAGAGAACCACTGCGAAACCTGGAAGTACTGGATAGTTGTTTCGTCCTAGTTCGGGACTCTTCGCAGTACGCACCCACCACAATTAGGTTCGAACCCAGGACCTACTGGCTACAAGGCGAGCTCGTAGACCATTAAGCCACTGAGACCCGATCCAATGGCCATTCAATGAATTTCGACTTCCGCCAATTCATGACATAGCGTGACCGATTCTTAGTGTCTTCTTCGGCGAGTTACTGCCTCACCTTAAACCTGCTGTACCCTACTAGTCACGGCTTCCCACTAGAACCCCAGGTTAACTGCCTGAATGGGGCCAGTCACTAGTGAGTATCAGATCAATTTTTTCAAGTATTGGTTTCGTAGGGATTTAGTTTGATTGATTGGAGGATTTCATCATGAGTTAACATCATTTGGTGGGTGCGTACTGCTAAAGAGTTCAAAACTAGGACGAAATAGCTGTCCAGTGGTTCTCTAATTGCTCTCACCTCATGATGAGGTCTACAACTTTTGTTGAGTAATGAAAAAGTTCCATGCGTCAAAAGAGATGCACTAGATACCTTAATATAGTTTATAGTTAATACTATTTGCAGGATTCAATCAATTAAATAAAGACTCACGCATAACAAAACAAAAATTTAGCATAACTCCATTATGGATAAGATTTTATTTTGATGAAATCACAAGGTGTTATACAGTAATATCAAGTTGATATGATTATGAGCAGTAGTTTGTGCTCATAATCAAATCAGTTAATATTACTGAACAACACTTTGTGACTACATCAAAATGAAGTCTTATCCGTAAGGGAGTTATACTCTACCACAGTGCCCAAGTTTTATACTTATATCAAAAATTTAGTATACTGTTAAATGCAAGGTCAGTCAGTTCTTAATAGAAAAGAAGAAAATCCTGCAGATTTTTGCAATAGAACTGTAAAAGCTTTTGCCAACAAACTTTACAAGATAAGTAAATGCGTATTTCCAAACCTCAAAGGTAAAGGTAATGAATACAAACGAAATCAGTGTTTTTAATTCGCATTAAAAACAAAATAATTCCCACAGTTGTTGTGATCACGGGCAGTAATTTCGCTCGAAATATTACCAAAAACAAAAACTATCGCAATATAATTCTAATTTATTTGATCTATTCCACAGTGCTCAAACTTTTTACTGACATTAAATGTGAGTGTAGTTACATAGTTACGCATACTGACAAGGTTATCCAAAAAAAATTAGCATAAATGATAAACTCATGGATGAAACTACTTGGTACCTAGCAAGTAATTAGTGTCATGTGTCTAATACTTAGTGCTAACTGAATTCTATCAGTCAAGTTTGCGGTGAGAGATGATTTCCTTTTACAAATCTCAAGATTTAATTGTTAATCTTGATGTGATTTCGACTTTTGTGTTTGAAAATATGTAAGATGATAGTTGCCCTCACTCTAATCCAGAGAAAATACGGAGTATGTGGAATTTATATCTAGAAGAAAGACTGGTTGGATTTAAAAATGATACAGAACGAAAGTTTGTAGGCTTTTTATATTATTCTTGATAGATATTGAACACTGAAAAGTTTGAACAGAGGTACAGAAAAGTGGAGCATCTCTATGAAGGTGACTCAGTTTGCAATAAGGTTCAATTAGTGAACATCAATAAAAGAACAATACGATGGTATATATATATGTTAGAGCGAACGAATGTGAAATTTTTGGAGAGATTATTAAAGGTGATAACTGTCTTCTTCACAGGTGCATCATTCTGTTACATTTTCTTAAATGAAAACAACTGAGCAAGTTAGAATAGTGAAGTAGTTTTGGTGCCTATCATTGATAAAGATCTTAATATATAAGCCTTGTGTCTGATATTACATGCATCCCCAATTAATACACTGTTAACAGACAATAAATGTCTGATGTATAGAATTGGGTGCGTCAGTTGCACAGTGGTTAGGACGCTCACTAACCATGCACATGGTCCGAGGTTCGATTCCCGGCCGACGCACTCCTTTATCTCACTAAGCCAGTAGTTGACTTGTAGGAAGGGAAGATTGGGTATGAGGCTAGCAACCCCATCCCGTAAAAATAAAAATCATTGCTACAGAAACTTCAAGTCACTAGCTTGAAGCCCTATATTTCACTGGGAACGTAGAGGAATCGATATCTATGCATATAGAATCGGAGATATGCTTTCAGTGATCGTATTAGTCAGATGCCCCTTCATTAATTCTAGATATGATGGATAGATATGATGTATCTCAGGTAGATAATTTTGATGTGGTTGTGTTCTCTGAGCTGGATAGTTAATTTGCGAAGTTTTCATTGCCCTACTAGGCAACATTTTCAGCGCATACTTCATTTTGAAGTAAGAGTCCCAAAATGAGTCTATTTCATTCATAAAATATTTTAATTTTAAATTTAATTTTGATGGCGAAGGACATTGTCTGAAATGATTTTTATTTGAAAACTGTGTATCAGTATTTATGTGTAAGCAAAGTTAAATGATGAAAGACTCTTGAACTGACTACTTGAGATAGCAT